CATGCAGACCCTATCAACTTCCTAATGGAAAATATTGACTCCCTTCTACTACAACACAACTGTCAACATATTATAATTGTTGGTGACCTCAACCAACACCTTATACAGAGGGACTTTGATGACCTTCTTGCAGTGTTTGACATGAGAAACTTTGTTGATTTCCCTACTTATATCTCTGGCTCCTCCCTTGACCCAGTAGTGAGTGATCTGGCAGAAGGCATAGTCACTTGTCAACCCCTCGGCTACGTTGGATCGTCTGACCACAAGGCTGTTTTTACCACACTTAAGATCCCAACAGAACAAGGTGAGGAGTCCACACGCACAACCTGGCTATGGGAAAGAGGTAATTGGCCAGCCCTTTGCTCTGAGCTCGCCACCACCGACTGGAATGCTCTTCTCCAAGGGGATGTTGACAACCAAGTGAAATCCTTCACTGGACACATCCTTAATCTACAACAAGAACACATTCCTCACCGGCAATATGTGACGAAGCCTACAGATCAGCCTTGGTTTGGCTTTCGTTGTAGAGAGGCTGCTACTGCTAAGTACAAAGCATGGGAAGGTATAAGAGACATCCTACCACCTATAACAGGAACTTGCACATGCAAGCCTGTAGGCATATGGGTGATGTTCAAAAGTGGGCCATTGCTAAATGGGAGGTGGACACTAAAAGAAAGTTAGCATCAGGTAGGATAGGCTCCAAAACCTGGTGGTCCCTGGTCAAGGACAGACAAGGTTATCTGCCTGATGAACTTATTCCACCTCTAAATCGACAGGATGGGTCCACCTCTACTAGTAGTCAAGAGAAGGCGGACCTCTTTGCTGAACACTTTGCTACCAAAATGCAAGTTCCTGATCCAGCAAGGGACCCTCCTTGGCTAGCTGCAAGAACTGTGTCAAAACTGTCAGTGGTGACAATAAGGCAGGAGGTGCATTTCCTTCTTAAATCGCTTGACCAAGAAAAGGCTGTGGGCCCAGACAAGTTGAGCCCAAGATTGTTGAGAAGATGTGCAGACCAGCTAGCAGCACCTCTAGCTCGCATCTTTCAGCACTGCCTAGTACAGTGTAAATGGCCCTCTCTATGGAAAGAGGCAAATGTAGTCCCTGTTCACAAAAAAAGAGCAGAGCAGAAATCAGCAACTACAGACCAGTGTCACTCCTGTCAATCACTGGTAAGATCCTTGAGACAATAATCTCAAGACAAATGACAGAGTTTTTTGACTACCACTCACTACTTTGTGATCGTCAATATGGCTTCAGGAAAGGTTACTCTGCTGCTGATCTGTTGTTAAACTTCTCCACTAAGTGGCACCAGTCACTGGATGAATCCAAAGTCAGCTGTGTGGTAGCACTGGACATTGCTGGCGCTTTCGACCGGGTGTGGCACCAGGGCCTCTTAGCAAAACTTCAAGCACTGGGAATTGCAGGCTCTACGCTATGTCTCCTCAGTGATTACCTTCATGGTAGATCTCTAAGTGTAGTCCTCAATGGAACGGAATCAGCAAGGCATCCTATTGGGGCAAGTGATCCACAAGGAAGCGTGCTGGGTCCATTATTATGGAATGTCTACTTCAACGACCTTCTTCATCTCATCCCAGAATCACATGCATATGCAGACGACTGTACACTGACATTCACTTATCCAAGAGAAGAAATGCCAGCTGCTCTAAGCTACATCAATCACCAGCTGAGAGCTATATCAGCTTGGGGAAATAGATGGCAAGTAACATTTGCACCTGAGAAAACGCAAATGATGATCGTCTCTAGGCACCATGATGGTAATGCTGGTGCAGTAGTAAGGATGAATGGGAGGATGTTGGCACCTGGAGAAGAAGTTGATATCCTTGGGGTGAAATTTGACTCCAAACTAACCATGAAGAACCATGTTGTAAATCTTGCAAACAAGGCAGCCAGGAAGCTTACAGCACTTCGCCATATCTCGCATCTGCTTGACAGAAGGGGTTGCAAGATCCTGTACGAGGCACAAGTACGCTCACACCTTGAGTATGCTCCACTTTCTTGGTTTGCCTGCCCCCCCTCTCATCTGCGACTGCTTGACAGAGTAGAGAACAGAGCAAGACGTCTCATCTCTCGCCTGGACCCATCCTGGATAGATCTGTCATTTCAGCAGAGCCTTCAACATAGGAGGGATGTGGGTGGCCTTACTGTCATGTATAAGGCCAATATTGTCAAAATACCACACTTGAATCCACTTCGAGGACAGCGTGAAACAAGCTTTTATGCCACAAGACGGGCAGAAAGCAGCAACTTCACTCTGGCTGTACCCTTCTCCAGAACATCACTCCATCTGAGATCATACATACCCAGGATGACTCGAGTATGGAACACATTCGTACAGCATAATGATGTCAACGAGATAAAGTCAGTTGATCAAATGAAAATGCTGGCCCACAGATGGCTCCAACTTCATCCTGTTCCCTACTTGTATGTCTCATAACAATAAAAATGCTTTCAAATGAGCTGATGTAGGTAACAGCTCTTGGCTTGCCAATAAAGTTAGGAATCCTTAACCTGTAAATAGCTGTCAATAAAGCTAGGGATCCTTAACCTTGTCAAACCCTGTGAAAAAAAAAAAAGAGAGAGAGAGAGAGAGAGAGAGAGAGAGAGAGAGGAGAGAGAGAGAGAGAGAGGAGAAGAGAGAGAGAGAGAGAGGGGAGAGAGAGAGAGAGAGAGAGAGAGAGAGAGAGAGAGAGAGAGAGAGAGAGAGAGAGAGAGAGAGAGAGAGAGAGAGAGAGAGAGAAAGACTCGGCCACATTAAGTATGCAGTTCTTATTAAATTATCCTGCTTGAGTAAACTGGCTTTTATAAGCTTCTGAGAACACTCATCAACCTCTTAACATTTACCCTCGACATTAGCTAACAGTTCAAAAGATGTGAGTCACAGAGGCTAGCTAATCCTCTCACAGACAGCCAATATGGCCAAAGAGGCTCGTTAATCCTCTCACAGACAGCCAATATAGTCTTCATGTGAGGTATAATCCTTCATGACAGTGTGAGGAACCAGAAGATATTCAATACAGATATCTATCTCCCTGCTGTCGTCTCTGTCTGAGTTACACTAATAGGCGAGTATTTATTTCACTTCAAATAACCCACTAATCAGAAAGGTAATTTTAGATGTATCAAATCACCTGGAATATTATCAACTATGGTCATGATAATGGTTTAAGGAGGACCGAAACTACCTTTAATATTTTTCTCTCTCCCAACTGAGGGTTAATTTTTAATTGCCTCAGTCACGTTGTTTTGACTGATTCATCAGAGTAAATGAAATTATTGCAAAATATAATATAAAATATTTTTTAATAACACAACAGGCAATAAATTCCCTGAAAAAAATATAACAAATCTTAGTACTTCATAGTATATTATGTTATATTAAGCTCAGTGTAACACCCTGAAGGCTGTCTGTTGCTGCCTGCAAAACTCGTGGATAACAACACTACTCTTGTACACCACCAGTCAACAATACTTTTATTCCTAAATTAAGGTAACTGACTCAAGTTTGTTTCCTTGGTCTTACGTCTGAATAATTATAAATATATGGCCACATGATACAATATTAATACATAACTATACATGATATCCATGGGGAAGTGGAACAGAATTCTTCCTCCGTAAGCCATGCGTGTCGTAAGAGGCGACTAAAATGCCGGGAGCAAGGGGCTAGTAACCCTTTCTCTTGTATATATTACTAAATTTAAAAGAAGAAACTTTCGTTTTTCCTTTTGGGCCGCCCTGCCTCGGTGGGATACGGCCGGTACGTTGAAAGAAAGAACTAGACATGATACAATATTGGTACATTCCCTGAAGTTACGGCAGACAATGTCAAAAGTCGACAAGTGTTCATTAACCTGAAGTTCCCAGTATACATTATCCACTACTGCAAACACCCAAAGAAGATGCCAACATCCATAGAGAACCATTCCTTCCGCTGGAGAGAGAGCCACCTCCATCATCCCGATTCTTCGAAAAATCAACATGGATGTAGCATTCCTTACTACCAAAACTATCAAAGATATCACCAGAAGCCCTAAACCGAGAACTGTTTGCACAGCAAGAGTATGTATACAACAAACCGTGTGGTGGTTGGGGTAAATTCTATGTCGGAGATACCGGCAGAGACCGTCACACACGCTCTCAGGAATATAAATGTGCTGCAGCAGGAATAAAACTAACAATATATGCACAGTCCATTGCAGCCTTCATTCTCACGTCATAGTCTGGGGAAGAGACAGCGTTACACTTCCAGAACGACAGGACCACACGCAGAATTCTGAAAGCAGCAGTGATCCACCTCACCAATAATACTGAGTAAAACGCACATGTTAACTGCACCTATTGCCTATATTATCCCCAGTTCATATAACAAATATAATAAACTTGTCACCTACCAGTACCTGATCTCACCTATACTTGACCTTGCAATTTCATGACCTTGCATGTGACCTACCTTAGAGCCTGACCTTTTTTGCCTAACAAAGTCGTGTATTTGTTTTTTCTTGTGTGCTTGATAAAGCCCAGCCTTGGGTGAAACGTCGTTTTAAAAGCATTATCTACTAACAATGCTTTCATTTCCATTATAATTTGCGTCATCAATGAGAACGTTGTGGAACACCTCCGCTACGGTTTATGAGGAGACACTCACTTCAGACACCCCAAACAAGCACTTTACAGGAATCAGGTTACATAAGTTAGCTAGTTTTTTTACCAATATAGTAATGTGGTATAAGCGACACTTACAATGCGTATACACACTCAGTCTTTTTGTACCTCAGTACCTGATAATTTGAAACATACAAGTATATTTCGGGTAACGATGTGGAGACAGATGTAGAGTAAGCTTTATGACAACGTTTCCCTCTATGTAGAGCTTCCGAGTTCTTCATACGAGCGAAACAGTGCAACAGTACCAGTTTGCAATAAGGCACAACGCCTTATCCTACCATAAACTGCCTCGGAGAGAGAAAAACAGGAGATCCTTAACAACTGCGTAGGTTTAATGTTGTATACTCTTAAGACTTTAAAAAACTTAATCAGTATAGTGACGAGTGTACCAGAAGTACGATGCTGAGTTCAACTTATAGATACGGTAACATTTAGTAATCTTAGGAAAACAAAGGCACTTCAATAATCTTAAGAAAGCAAAGGCACGTGAATCTAACTCCACAGTCACATAAACCTTCTTGAGTCTTCCTACTGCAAGATTTAAAGATTACCAGTGCAATGTTGCAGCAAATTAATTTTAAATACAATTTACGCCTCGGGGAATGAAAGTTTTATGGAGACATATGACATCGTTGAATTAAGATGAATGACACAGAAATAAACACGAAGAACCTACAGCAAGATGCATGAACACGTCTTTAAGAAGATTGGAAAGCTTGTCAAGACAAGCTTGTTAAGATGACTGGTGGAGCTGGAAAAGGCAAGATGGGTATATGGAAGCATACAAGCAGGTGCATTAATCGCCCTAATGAACTCTGTCTTTAATGGAGATGTCATCTTGGAGCTTAATAAACCACTTTCCTCCCAGGGGCTCACTTCCGTCACACTGCAGCAGGGCAGAGTCCGCCACCTGCGACAAACACACCATTATAACGTACACAAAGTTAGAGATGAAAAAATCACAATATAATAACAAATATTATGTCTTATGAGCATATATGTAATATATGAGCAATAAAATCAATACTTCTTGATAACGTGACATATCACAAAAGTGTTTGGATAATAATAACGTTCGAAGCTTTTCAGTATCGATAAAGATCCATTATTAAGTCAGACCACGTGAAATGCGAGGAAAAATGGCGAAATATTGCACGGATCTCAACTAAAGCTGGTGGCGATATGCTTAGTTCACCAACTGTAATATTGGCACCACAGTTGTATTGCTATGAACGTGCCTTTAAATACAGCTTTCTGAAACTGCAGTTTGTACCTTTTATTAAATAAAACTGTTGGTTTTCATATGCCATTTATATATCATTTATTATCGGAGAAGATACAGAGATGTGTACTTTTCATGGTATCTACAGAGATGTACACATTAGGGTGTATGTAACATGTCTACGAGAGAGTGTACAGATGATAGTGTTGAAGTGGGATGAGCCAGATGAAATCATGTTGTGGTAATAGTCGAGTTGTAATCCCTGAGAAACATGTAACATGTCAGAGAAGGTCGTACCTGTGTCATGGGATAATTTAGTGAGGTATGGAAGGTCGTACCTGTGTCATGGGACAGTTTAGTAAGGTAAGGAAGGGCGTACCTGTGTCATGGGACAGTTCAGTACGGTATGGATGATGATCCTTTTCAAATCACTTGTTCTCTCTAGGCTGGAATACTGCTGTACATTATCATCTCCATTCAAAGCAGGTGAAATCGCAGATCTAGAGAGTGTACAGAGATCCTTTACTGCACGTATAAGTTCTGTCAAGCACCTTAACTACTGGGAACGCTTGGAAGCACTTGACTTGTACTCGTTGGAACGCAGGAGGGAGAGATATATCATAATCTACACTTGGAAAATCTTGGAAGGAATGGTCCCAAATCTGCACACAGAAATCACTCCCTACGAAAGTAAAAAACTGGGCAGGCGATGCAAAATGCCCCCAATAAAAAGTAGGGGCCCAAAACTGTTCAACAGCCTCCCATCAAGCATTAGGGGAATTGCCAATAAGCCCCTGGCTGCCTTCAAGAGAGAGCTGGACAGATACCTAAAGTCAGTGTCGGATCAGCCGGGCTGTGGCTCGTACGTTGGACTGCGTGCGGCCAGCATAACAGCCTAGTTGATCAGGCCCTGATCCATCGGGAGGCCTGGTCATGGACCGGGCCGCGGGGGCGTTGATCCCCGGAATAACCTCCAGGTAACCTCCAGGTATGGAAGGTTGAATATATGCCATTGGACAGTGCAGTAACGTAAGGAAGGTCGTATCTGTGTCACGGGACAGTTTAGTAAGGTAAGGAAGGTCGTACCTTGGTCATGAGACAGTATAATAGGATAAGGAGGGTCGTACCTTGGTCATAGGAGTGTACTGTGGGTGGTGGTGTTGCTTGTAAGGGTTGTTGGAACGCTTGTTGAATGCCACAATGAAGACCCAGCGACGATTATCAGAGCTGTTCTGGTCGGAGGTGTGAAGGAGGTTACAATGGAAGAACAGTATGTCCCCCGCCTTCATCTCCACATATATGTGCTCCAGTACCTTCTGTGCCTGCGTCAGAGTGAGAATACAGGTGTTAGTCACATATATGTGCTCCAGGACCCTCTGTGCCTGCATCATGGTGAGAGAATAGGTGTTAGTGAGTGAAATATTTTATCATAGCCGGTTCAAACATGGACTGGTGTGATGGGATCCGTGACTTTCACCAATCAGCTATATTAGTGAAAGAGTAATAGCAAGATTAAATAATCAAGGAAGGAGAACCACAAGAGGAAAAAAACTGACGGAACACAGAAAAAGAGGAGAGAGAATGGGCAGAACAAGCCACACTTTGTACCATAAAATGAAAATTGTGTAATGTGGTCAGGGAGAACCTTCCACACGTTCCACTTGCCATGAAGGTGGAAAGTAAGTTTTTAAGTCCACAGAATGAACGAAAGTGTCTAATATTCTCGCTCTCTTCGTCTCTTTATTTTGCAGTTGACATGCGTAACGTAATTGGCCTTCCCCGTAAGAGGTAGTGGCTGGAGTGAGAGGTAGTGACTGGAGTGAGAGGTAGTGACTGGAGTGAGAGACAGTGACTGGGGTGAGAGGTAGTGACTGGAGTGAGAGGTAGTGACTGGAGTGAGAGGTAGTGGCTGGAGTGAGAGACAGTGACTGGGGTGAGAGGTAGTGACTGGAGTGAGAGGTAGTGACTGGAGTGAGAGGTAGTGACTGGAGTGAGAGACAGTGACTGGGGTGAGAGGTAGTGGCTGGAGTGAGAGGTAGTGACTGGAGTGAGAGGTAGTGACTGGAGTGAGAGGCAGTGACTGCGGTGAGAGGTAGTGGCTGGAGTGAGAGGTAGTGACTGGGGTGAGAGGTAGTGGCTAGAGTGAGAGGTAGTGACTGGAGTGAGAGGTAGTGACTGGAGTGAGAAGTAGTGGCTGGAGTGAGAGGTAGTGGCTAGAGTGAGAGGTAGTGACTGGAGTGAGAAGTAGTGGCTGGAGTGAGAGGTAGTGACTGGAGTGAGAGGTAGTGACTGGAGTGAGAGGTAGTGACTGGATTGAGAGGTAGTGGCTGGAGTGAGAGGTAATGACTGGAGTGAGAGGTAGTGGCTGGAGTGAGAGGTAGTGGCTGGAGTGAGAGGTAGTGGCTGGAGTGAGAGGTAGTGGCTGGAGTGAGAGGTAGTGGCTGGAGTGAGAGGTAGTGGCTGGAGTGAGAGGTAGTAGCTGGAGTGAGAGGTAGTGGCTGGAGTGAGAAGTAGTGGCTGGAGTGTGAGGTAGTTTCTGGAGTGAGATGTAGTGGCTGGAGTGAGAGGTAGTGGCTGGAGTGAGAGGTAGTGGCTGGAGTGAGAGGTAGTGACTGGAGTAAGAGGCAGTGACTGGGGTGAGAGGTAGTGACTGGAGTGAGAGGTAGTGACTGGAGTGAGAGGTAGTGACTGGAGTGAGAGGTAGTGGCTAGAGTGAGAGATAGTGGCTGGAGTGAGAGGTAGTGACTGGAGTGAGAGGTAGTGGCTGGAGTGAGAGGCAGTGACTGGAGTGAGAGGTAGTGGCTGGAGTGAGAGGTAGTGGCTGGAGTGAGAGGTAGTGACTGGAGTGAGAGGTAGTGGCTGGAGTGAGAGGTAGTGACTGGAGTGAGAGGTAGTGGCTGGAGTGAGAGGTAGTGGCTAGGCAGAGATGTGTACAATAAATTAAGGAGGGCTTGAGTGTGTACCCACCTAACTGTTGTTGCATGGGTCCGGACATAGCTCGTGTGTGTGTATTTGTGTGTGTGTGTGTGTACATAGTTATATGTTGTTGCAGGGGTCGAGTCTTGGCTCCTGACTTGTTATAACAACTTGCCGTGATTGGATTCACTTTTTATAGTCTCATGAGCTTTTATCATTCCTTTTCTTGAAGCTGTGTATGAAGTCTGAATCCACCGCTTTTCATTCCTCTCCACCCTCAGACTCAAGTATTTCCTGGCGCTCATGTGGCTCATCTATGCCTTTTAACTTCCAACGGAGCCCTCATATACTACACGTTTCTTGACTCTCGAACACCCGTTCACCCTACGAACACCCGTTCATCCTATCAAGTTCTCTGAGTGTTTCATGTGTACTCTGAATATTTTCTTTGTTGCACTGTGACTCTGAATATTTCCTTTGTTGCAACCATGTGCTCTGAATATTTCCTTTGTTGCAATCATGTGTACTATGAATATTTCCTTTGTTGCAACCATGTGCTCTGAATATTTCCTTTGTCGCAATCATGTGTTCTATGAATATTTCCTTTGTTCAAATCATGTGTTCTCTGGTACGTCTGATGTCGAACAGTTTTTTTTTTTTTTTTAGTCTTCGTAGGTCTCCCTGATCAGCTCTGGGACCAGTTTTGTTGCAAAGCTCTGGTCTTTCTATAGCTTTTATATACTTTTATTACGTGTGGCTCTCTGCCCTAAAATCTGCTTTTGTTCAGCAGTGATACTGCAAAACAAGCTTTAACTGGGACAACGTTGTCTAATAAAAGTTAGTTCTGCAACGTGTGTCTCTTCTTCACTATTGTCTGCACTACGACTTTTGGATTCTGCTCATCTTTTGTTATACCGTTTCTAGTTATGTACATCACGTTTTCCCTCACATCACCTATTTGTTGTTGGGGTGGTCTTCCTGGCCAGCTAGTTTTTTTTACTCCAATTTCATGGACCAGGAAGATGAAAAGTTCTTGAGGGTTTTGAGAGGAGGTGCAATTGGGAGGGATATTGTTTATTGTTGTCTTCAGGGCTGTGGGTGATGGGGGAGGTGGAGGGGAAGAAGTGATGGTATAGATGGTAGATTATAGGAAGTGCTGATGATAATGTAGAGCTGTGATGAGGAGAGGGTAAGCCTGAGGGTTCTAAGGAGTTGTGTCTGGTAATGGCATGGAAAAATGTCAGGTCTAGGGATGACTGTATACTGCTGTATGTAGAGTTGGGTTGAAAGTATTTATTGTGTCATCTGGTGGGGGAGGTAAATTGTAGTGTTGTTAGGGTAAATTGCCTTTCATGTACGAGGTGAGGGTGCAGTAGCGGCTTGCCTGAGGTAAGGCGGGGGTAGAGGTATTTTGGGAATGGAGGGGAGCTTGGATTATCTTGGACCTGGGGAAGGGGTTTGTTTCTTGAGACTGAGTTCCTGCTGTTTAGTGAGAGTCCTGTCGGTCCTGTTGTGAAAAGAAGTGACATTTATCGTTTATAATTTTGAGATGTTTGTTTACAACATCGCCTGCTATGGCAGCAGAGGCAAGATATCAATACACATTGTTCTTCCTCACACTGTTGACACCAGTGAGAGGGTCATCTTATGACAAAGAAACGTCAGTCTTTTTTTTTTTAACTTGACGAATAAACCAACAGCCACAACACCCACCTGCTCTACTCTTTCTGGGTCAGCTCCCAGCTGCTCGCCGATCCTGGAGTGATCAATGCGCCCAAGACGGTGTGATCCTCTCAGCACCTGCAGGCAACTGTTCTCTCTGGTACAGTCGTCCACGGGGATGAACACTGATGCCATGTCAGGGTACAGACAACCGTTGTTGTACCAGTAGCTGTAACCCAACACTATCAATCAAAATACTGCTAATAGACACCTACCTTAAAGTGCACAATTTAAATTTGAAAAATTTAACTCTAGTATCATCAGCAAATCTCTTCGAAAAGTGTATGAAACACAGAAATTCTATCTAGAGGTGAAAAGTACTTCAATGTGGTGTGATATACACTAAATTAATGTATACAATCAATGGCTCTTACTGGCAGCGTCACTATTGTCAGCGGTACTCACCCATAGTCTTGGTGCCAGACGTGGCGACCACCTGTATGGGCATCCTTCATCATCAGCTTACTGTGGTAGTGATAAACCTCGTCTCCACCCATTAACTGCCGAGGCACAGGTCACGAGTCAGTAGTGACATAGGTCAGGGATCACAGTAGTGAGAGAGGTCTTAGTGGCCAGATAGTGGGGACACAAAAGTCAGTGACGAGAGATAGGATATAGTAGAGACAGGTCAAAGGCCACAGTAGAGAGGTGAGAAGTCACATTGGTGATAGGTCGGAATGGGGAGAAAGACATAACATAACAATATCTTGTCGTACCTACCTGCTCCATCGTCCCAGCCACACGCTGCATCCTAGCCAGACGACCGGTGATGTCGTCCCCAGGGTGGTTCCACAACGACACACGGCTCCGACGACTTTTTCCGTCGTCGCGGCTGTAGGCACGAGCCTGGATCCCCTGGTCGTCCTCCACGGCTCTCTTTACCTTCTCCACCTCAGCCTTCGTCAACATATTCCTGGAAATGACTCGAAGGATAGATGAGGTAACCCAAGATTGGCTACACTGGTAGGTGAAGTAACCCAAGGCTAGGTACATACTTGGGTATCACTGTTACACTGACTTACACCAGGGTATCACTGTTACGCTGACTTACACCAGGATGTCACTGCCACACTGACATACACCAGGGTATCACTGTTACGCTGTACACCACAATGTCACTGTCGCACTGACATACACACTACCCACCTGACGAGGATGTAGCCATTGCTGTCGTAGGCTTCCTTCATGGCAGGAGTTACACTCCAGGTGGCTGCGTCATAGATGAACTCTGAATCTGATCAAGGAAATAAAGATATATACAGTACTGTATATAGTGTATTTCGGTATATTTTTAACACACTGGCCTTCTGCTACCCAGGTTGGGTGATCTGGAAAAGAAGACACACTTTCAACATTCTTTCTGTTACTGTCTCTCCAGAGGCGTACTGACCATACAGTTCAGATGACTCTCCAAACTGTAGGATTAACGTATCGCAACGGCTCATGTTATCAGAATTTGTAAGTTACAAGAATACAGAAAGAAAAAAAAATAATTCAGACGACTGATATAAAGGTACAATAAAATGATGTCGAAATAATATTAATCTTATTTAACAGACTATAAAAATGTGACTCAGTTAACTATGAGAAAAATAACCTACAAAATTAGGATGTCAAATACAAGCTCAAGTTAACAGTGAACGAAAAACTATGAAATACGTCAAAATTATCCTTGTAGAAAAGGTCAAGTCAGGTATACTTAGAAACAAAACACTGAAAATAGGCCTATATTAACAATGACAATAATTTTCTATAGATAATACAAATATTTCAGGTGCAACAACCCACATCAAACATTCCTAGAAACATAACAGCTGTAGCCAGCTGTAGTTACCACCTGTATCAGGCTGGTGCAGTGTACCAGCTGTGTGACTTACCACCACTATAACTTAGTGACTCACCTCAACTCTGGGGTGATTAAATGTGTGGAAGTGTTCCTTAATGGTGCTGGAAGTGTTCCTTAATGGTGCTGGAAGTGTTCCTTAATGGTGCTGGAAGTGTTCCTTAATGGTGCTGGAAGTGTTCCTTAATGGTGCTGGAAGTGTCCTTAATGGTGCTGGAAGTGTTCCTTAATGGTGCTGGAAGTGTTCCTTAATGGTGCTGGAAGTGTTCCTTAATGGTGCTGGAAGTTTCCTTAATGGTGCTGGAAGTGTTCCTTAATGGTGCTGGAAGTGTTCCTTAATGGTGCTGGAAGTGTTCCTTAATGGTGCTGGAAGTGTTCCTTAATGGTGCTGGAAGTGTTCCTTAATGGTGCTGGAAGTGTTCCTTAATGGTGCTGGAAGTGTTCCTTAATGGTGCTGGAAGTGTTCCTTAATGGTGCTGGAAGTGTTCCTTAATGGTGCTGGAAGTGTTCCTTAATGGTGCTGGAAGTGTTCCTTAATGGTGCTGGAAGTGTTCCTTAATGGTGCTGGAAGTGTTCCTTAATGGTGCTGGAAGTGTTCCTTAATGGTGCTGGAAGTGTTCCTTAATGGTGCTGGAAGTGTTCCTTAATGGTGCTGGAAGTGTTCCTTAATGGTGCTGGAAGTGTTCCTTAATGGTGCTGGAAGTGTTCCTTAATGGTGCTGGAAGTGTTCCTTAATGGTGCTAGGAAAGTGTTCCTTAATGGTGCTGGAAGTGTTCCTTAATGGTGCTGGAAGTCGTTCCTTAATGGTGTGGAAGTGTTCCTTAATGGTGCTGGAAGTGTTCCTTAATGGTGCTGGAAGTGTTCCTTAATGGTGCTGGAAGTTTCCTTAATGGTGCTGGAAGTGTTCCTTAATGGTGCTGAAGTGTCCTTAATGGTGCTGGAAGTGTTCCTTAATGGTGCTGGAAGTGTTCTTAATGGTGCTGGAAGTTCCTTAATGGTGCTGGAGTGTTCCTTAATGGTGCTGGAAGTGTTCCTTAATGGTGCTGGAAGTTTCCTTAATGGTGCTGGAAGTGTTCCTTAATGGTGCTGGAAGTGTTCCTTAATGGTGCTGGAAGCTTCCTTAATGGTGCTGGAAGGTTCCTTATTGGTGCTGGAAGTGTTCCTTAATGGTGCTGGAAGTGTTCCTTAATGGTGCTGGAAGTGTTCCTTAATGGTGCTGGAAGTGTTCCCTTAATGGTGCTGGAAGGTTCCTATTTCTGGAATGTTCCTGGTAATGTTCTTGATTTCATCCTTAAATGGTCTTGAATTTCCTTCAATGGTAGTGAAATGTTCCTTGTTTCACCTGTAAAGTGTTCCTAATGTTTCACATAGTAACATGTTTGTTCATATATTTATTTACCATGGTAAAATGTTTTTGTTTCTTTATCCTCATAGTAAAGTTTTGTTTTCAACCATGTTTCCTTGTTCTTGTTTCACCCATAGTAAAGTTCTTGTTTCACCCATAGTAAAGTTCTTGTTTCACCCATAGTAAAGTTCTTGTTTCACCCATAGTAAAGTTCGTTTCACCCTGGTAAAGTTCTTGTTTCACCCCTGGTAAAGTTCTTGTTTCACCCATAGTAAAGTTCTTGTTTCACCCATGGTAAAGTTCTTGTTTCACCCCTGGTAAAGTTCTTGTTTCACCCCTGGTAAAGTTCTTGTTTCACCCCTGGTAAAGTTCTTGTTTCACCCATAGTAAAGTTCTTGTTTCACCCTTGGTAGAGAACCTAGACTTAACTACAGTGTCTATGTTGTGGAATATTTTGTATGTCGTAATCATATCACATCTATTCGTCCCTCTTCTAATACTTTTTTTCCTTAACAGTTGATTCCTCTCAACTCAGGTGTTATCTGGATGCACTCATTTATATTTTTTGAGTTTCTCTCTGTGTATTACGAGACGAAGGTTGCAAACAAGCGCTGAATACTAAAACAAGGAGTCACGTATTAAGTAAAGTGTATGTTGAACCTGTCTAGTTTCTTGAAGGACATTCTCATGTTTGCAAACTTAGAGAGAATAACATCAACAACCTAGATTATGGAAACTTTAAGGAGGTTAGGGGGGGGGACAGATCCATTGTTGTTCATTCAGTCTCTTTTCACCGTCTTCCATCTTCATCATTATTCTTTTGTTGGGGTTAAACTCAAGAGTCATCATTTATTCGACATTTTGTGAAGTCTGTCCAGTTGCTCCTGCAGTCCTTTTCTATGTAGATTTACATCTTGTTTTATTTTACTATTGTCTCTTTTCTCATGTCTTGTGTTGTTACCACTAGTTCTGGAATGGAGTGATTTCCTCACTTTCTGCCAGTGTCTCTCAGGGGAACTAAGTGGGTGATTAGGGAGTGCAGTCCTGTACATTTGCTGCTCAGTATTTCTCCACCTCTCTCTTTGTGCTCTCCACTGCTTTTTCACCCCATTGTCTGAACTTGTAACAGTATTCCCTGTTTTCAAGAGCTCGATCTCAGTTTACAAACTGAATGAGGCTGTCAGTGAAGCTTTCTGTTACTGACATTCTTTCAAAATAACGCTGTAGTTTCATAACTTTGCTGATGAGAAATTTCAGACCGCGTCGTTATCTCCCCATCTGGTAAAAAATATCACCTGTAGTCTCCCTTTTTTTTCCCATAAATTATCTTATATCCCTGTTTCCATTGTCACATCTTTAGTAATTCAACATTTTCTTTAGACAGTGAATTATCAGTGTCCTTCCTCAGTTACGATGAATTAGACAGATGTGCAACATCTGGGTATCTTTATTTGTAGACGTTTCGCTATCCAGTGGCTTTATCAATACAATACTTCGACATCATATGAAGACTAGGAATGTATACAGCTGCAGACAGTGCAAGATGAGGTAATGGGTTCCTCAGTTCTCTGTTACTATAGTCATTCAGCACAGAAAGATTTGTCTGTTGATTTATGACATGTACCACGTCTTGTACCATGTATTGCACCACGTCTTGCACCATGCCTTGTACCACGTCTTGTACCATGTATTGCACCACGTCTTTCACCATTCCTTGTACCACGTCTTGCATAGTTTTATCATTCACATACAGGCTTTCAAACCTTCGTCTTCCACTTTCTTCCTTCCTTTCTTTGCTGCATCTTCATCATCCCTCATTTCCTCTACCTCATCATCTGGTGTATTTCTGTTTTGCTTGCCTTGTTTCAGCCTCAGTCAGCTGCTTCTCTCTCTCTCTCTCTCCATCCCTACATTCTCCTATTTCATTCTTTTATCTTTTAGCTCCATCTTTCCCAATTAATTTCATCTTTTCTTCAAGTTGCTCATTAATTGTAGTCGTCAGCCCTACAATCAACAATTTAAGTTTAATATTAGTGATGACAAACAATACCCACAAGTGATGAATGACGCTTGTGCAACAATTCTCTATCTTTACTGATGAAATATTTTGCCTGCTTTGCCTCTCTTTTTTACATTAAAGCAAATTTCAAAATGTACTTCTGTTCACCGAGCTACCTCACTTTTGTACATAAAAACAATTATTCAGTAACCTATGTCTAGTTCTTAAGTAATGTGTAAGCATTAGTAATAGTCTGCCAGAAGTGCACATGCACGTTAATGGCTTTCATTGTGCTTAACAATAAACATAAAATGTCTTTATTTCTACAAGTACATGTACAAGGTGTACAGATCATAGCTGACATCAGTGACATACTACTATAGAAAAAGCCACTTGTTATGCTGAGCATTTAGGGTAAATTAGGTCAGTTTTGTCCCAGGATGCGACCCACACCAGTCGACTTATACCCAGGTACCCATTTTACTGATGGGTAACATAGACAACCGGTGTAAAGAAACACGCCCGATGTTTCTACCCTCGCCAGAAATCAAATACTGAACCTCACAGTGTGAAGCGAGAGCTTTAGCCACCAGGTCAAGGGGCACCGCTTATAACACGTAAACCACACTTTGTATACTGCGCAAATAAAGTTTGTACAATAAGGTCTTCATCAGTCGAATACATGAGAAAGTAAGGTTACAGACTAGTATGTACTTTTAAAGTTATGACCTATATGTATTCATCTACATGTGGTTGCAGGGGTCGAGTTACAGCTCCTGGCCTCGCCCCTTCGCTGGTCGCTACTAGATCCACTCTCTCTCCCGGCTCCAAGAGCCTTATCATACCTCTTCTTAAAGCCATGTATGGATCCTGTGTGCGTGTGTGTGTGTGTGTACTCACCTAGTTGAGGTTGCAGGGGTCGAACCCTAGCTCCTGGCCCCCGCCTCTTCACTGGTCGCTACAAGGTCACTCTCCCTGAACCGTGAGCTTTATCATACCTCTGCTTAAAGCTATGTATGGATCCTGCCTCCACTACATCGCTTCCCA